CTTTTCCATCTCTATTTTCTATGATCCTCTGAGGCATGATTTGGAAATGGCCTTAGTAATTCGCCTGGGAGCCATTTCTGATTCATGATAGTATCCCTACATTTCCTGTCTCCTCACTCTGATCTGCCATTTCTGGTTTCTTATCATTTTAATGAGAGTTCTGGAAATGGAATCGCTCGAGGTAACACTGAGACCATTTACAATCGTAGCTGTCTTAACGAATCCCACTGCTTCACCTCCCTGGGAGCAGCTTCCTTCCTCGGTCCTCTACCTTTTCAACAGCATCCTGCTACCTCACTGGGTCTGATACTACCATTAGCCAATGGGGAGCCAGCACAGGGCTGGGTAGTTCCTTAACAGCTGTTTATGCTCATTCACACCACGACCTGCAGGTAAAGCTCTCTCTGGCCTTTGCATCTGGTGGGCCAGAGCTGGAGAATCCACTGAAATGAACACACAGAAGATAAAAGAACGAGGAGTATTTGTGGTACCTTAGAGACTAACAAATTTATTTGGGCATAAACTTTCATGGGCTAAAACCCACTTCATCAGATGCATGCAGTGGGAAATAAAGTAGGAAGATATATATACATAGAGAACATGAAAAAATCATACTAGTAAGTGACATTTCAATAGCACTGTTCAACCCAAAGGCCCCCGGATCACCAATGCTCAGAGTAAGGAGAGAATTCCACTATCCCCACTTCCAAACACATGGCATGAATATAGCAGAAAACAAGTCTAGTGGCATCATTAAGACTCAAAGGGCCCATCTACACAGCAAAAAAAGACCCAGGACACCAAGTCTCATAGCCCGGGTCAACTGATTTGGGCTTGTGGGGCTAAAAATAGCACCATAAATGTTTGGACTCAGGCTGAAGCCTGGGCACTGAGACCCAGTGAGGCAGGGAGGGTCTTGGAGTCCAGGCTCCAGTTTGAGCCCTCACCCCATACTGCTATTTTTAGCCCCACAGCGCAAGTCCGAGTCATTGACTTCAGACTCAGACTCTCTGTCACAGGATTGTTGGGTTTTTGCTGTGTAGACGTACCGTGACAAGCCTTCTTCAAACACACATGGTGCAGCTCCAGGGCACAGAAATCCAGATCATTTTTTTTTATCATATTTTTATCATATTATTTAAAAAATCCTTTATTTCTAAAGGCCCTGCCTGGGAGCCTCACAAACAATTCAAAACATCCAGACCAAAGAGATGCAAATATCCATTAACCCTTCACAACATATAATAACTCGCCACAAAGCCAGATATAAACAGTGCTGTGGGAGAGGGATGGACAGTCTGGGATTTGAATATGCCTCAAATGTCTCATCATCTTTCCATTCATCATGACTCAGTAAAGATAAAGTTTGTCTGCACGTCAGCCCCCATCACTGTAGGTAGCCTCCTCTTTGTTCTGATGACAATGTGGAACCTTGACATACATGAATCTATGGACACCACAGGGTCCTGTCAGAATGAACATTCTTTATAGGTATTCCACAGGCACCATCTCTTCCTCCTCCAAACACGGAGCCCCGCAGCAGGCCACATTGGCAAGAGGTCAGGAGCTTGAGGGACACAATGGATTGGAACAGAATGGAGCAGATGTCACCCCATCCATATTATTATGGAAGAGCAGAGACTATGACCCAGATTCTCAAATGTATTTAGGTGCCTGACTCTCACTGGGAGAGAGGGACCTAAATATCTCTGAGGATCTGTGGCTACTGAGTATCTAAGCCCCAAATCCTACCGTTCCCAATGTCACCATTGCCGGGTGGGCCAGGATGTAGCCACAGATCCTCAGAGATATTTAGGTCCCTCCGTCCCAGTCCCATGCAATGGCTACCTGGGTTGCTCAGATCAAATAGACGGCTTGTATGCTGCCATCTGCAGTCTCAGCACAGATTATTAGAGAGAAGAATGGCCACTGTGCTGGCCTCTAAAGGTGAGCCAGGGGAGTCTCGCTAGCCCCACGGAGTTTGGCAGACAATCACTAACACGACTTGGCCCTCCAGCTAAGCCCCAAATCCTACCGTTCCCCATGTCACCATTGCCGGGTGGGCCAGGATGAGGCTGGGGGAGAAAAAGGACACCAGAGAGAATGTAGGAGTAGTGGTATGTCAGCATTTAGCTTTTCATCATCATCATCATGATTGTCATCATTTACACCCAAAGCCCTTAGTCCGATCCCCCCATAAATTCTCTTACCTCTCAGGCAAGTCCATCTTTTCGTAGGGAGGCAGGCCCCAGTCTGTGCCCAACCGTCCCCACACTCAGTACCTTTTTAACAAGGTGATCACCTTGCTCCTGTCTCTTTCCGGAGCTGATTTTCCCCCTCATCATCAGCCTTCCAGTCTTCTTGGGTGTTGTGTTGTCTTGGTTCCTTATCTGTCTTTCTTTCTGCAATGAAGTGGGCCTGGTTTATATATTCCCCAAGTCCCTCCCACTCGCAGAAGCCTCTGAGAGGATTGGTTAATTGGAGTCAACTGCTTGGGGTTTTTTATTCTCCCACATTGTGACAGTTCACTCTGTCACCAAAGGATAATAGAAGGCATGATGGTAAGATATATATATAAGCTATTGAAACAGCCAGTTAGACCAGCAGTAAATCTGGGAGCTGTCCCAACTCCCCTAGTATTTCACTATTACAAGGCCAGGTACTCGGAGGCAGATGGAGAGGTGACACATGTAGCTTAAGGTTGCAACCCAGACCCACATGTGTGTGTTTAGAGTGCAATCTGCGGTAAAAGGTATGTGTTCAGATCAGAGCCTAATCTGTGACAGCATCAGCCAGGCCTTCAGGAGAGGCTGCCAGGTTCCTTTGTTGCTGAGTGTACTATCTCAGGAGTGAGCTGGGTTTGTGATGTGAAATGGCAGCTTGCTTCAAGAAATGAAAATGAAGGAATATATTTGTACAAGGATCAAACATCCCAAAGATAGGATCAGGGCTAATTTGAATTAAAGCAGACACTGGAGTTGGAATAATGGGCCACAAAAACTTTGTTCCTCAATCATTGGCTTGACAGCCGTGCTTGCCGTGTATTGAAAAAACAGGGACATGCAGAGAGAACCAGACTCCGGCTAATTAGACAGCGGCTGAGTAGCGCAGCTTGCAACAAGGTATCACCTTCAGCGGGTTCCCTGGCATTTCTAGCCAACAGGAAAACAGCAGTTCAGGTAGCTTCAGATACCATGATGATGGGTATGGGATAGATAGATAGATAGATAGATAGATAGATAGATAGATCTGTTTAACCCATACGCATATATTTTTAGAACTCATTAACCCTTCATTTGCAGGATATAAAACACTGAGAAAAGCACAGTGAACAGTAGTCATACAAGAATGTGTTCCCCTTTCCCTGACTTCTGTGCGTGATGGCACAAGTGCATAGAGACTAAGAGCCATCCACTCTATCAGCTTTGTGCCACTCCAGATGTGCAGGCTGAGTCAGCCCTGTGGGCGTGTGAGACCTGGAATAGCCTTGTCAGGTGTGTGGTGAGAAAGCACCTGTTCACATACTGCTTCCTGTTTCGAGCTGGCTGAACAAACTCTCGGAGCTAAGGAAACAGGAAAAGGCAAACGTTGTGAAAAAGTAAACCACTTTTCGTTCTCACTTTGAACTGTTGGTAAAGTGAGGAGCAGTTTTTGTTCTTCCCCCACTCCGAGACGGGCAAAGTAACACCTGTTAGCTGGCTTCATGCCCACAAAGGCCCTTGCAGGCCGCAGGTGAACAGCTGGTCGCTGCCTGGAGTGTGTACTGTAAAGACCTTGCTAAATGCAGTGTATTTTATGTGGGGCTTGTTCCTCGCAATGCACCACAGATGTCTCCTCTAGCTCTGCCTCTTCCCAGTCAGCATGAGTGGCTCCTCGTTGTTATGCATTCCTGGGGCCTTTCAAAGGTAACTGTGCAATCTGCTAGCGTGGAGATGAAGCGCTGTCGCTTAATCGGAGACCAATGCACACACTGAGAATGGAAATTGAAAAAGCTTCAAATCCAGCTCTCGAGACGCATTACTCAGCGGCTGCCGCTAGTCATCCTCCTTCATATTTCATTATTTTAATGACCACATAAAACCCTTTGGAATAGCAGCTTTGATAATACACACATAATTGCCTTGGTGGAGCAGAGCTCCTGAATTGTTTCAGCAGATGGGGAGACACAAAAGCAGAAGGGCTGGATCCTCTGTTAGGTTCTCAGGAAATTTAGCACCAAACTCTTGGGGAGTAGCTGCTCTCGTTGCATGTGGCTGCAGAGACGACAGGACATTCTCCAAGTTGAGAGGCAGGGTTCTGGCTTGCAGGGAGCAGAGGGCTGTCATCAACACCGGGCAGTGGTTGCTGTTGTGTTAAAGTTCTGTAATGTTTCACAAAAAATGATCTGAGGGTTCAATACAAGCTCTCCGGGTGCTAAAAAGAACAACACGCCTGAGTGTCAGAAACTCTCCTGTAAAATGGGGGTGCTGATAATCACCCTCTCCTGGCCGTGCTCTCAAGATGGAGCTGTTCATGTCTGTAATGTACTTTCCCGGGTCCAAGTGCTCTTTCAGTGCTGAGCATCATTACCAACCTCATGTGTCACAGGTGGACACAGGAGCCTGCACTCAGGGCTTTGCTGGGAAGGAGGACCCATCCTTATCCATTCCGTGGCATCCCAACTTTCCCTGTGATCTGCAGTGGGTTGGTTTAGTCTTTTTTAATTAGTATTATTTTGCAAAAGCTTTTCAGGTTCATTTTTCACAGACCTGAGGCCATGCAGGAATCTGGCGCCTTTGGAACCTTCTGGTCAGCACTAGATCCAGGCAGTCTCCCAGTTCTCCATCCCTTGGCTGCCCCCTGTTAATCTCTGGTGCCATGAGCGGGTAAGAAGGCAAAGGAAATGAAAGGGCTGCAGCCACAGGTTGACCCTGTCACCCACCCTATTTCCCCAGCTTGGCCGATCTACAAAAAGAGGGAAAAGGGCCAGTTTGCTCCAGCTGATCTGATCCGCTCGCTCTCTGTCTCACATCTCTTCCTTTCCTTTAGCAACATGAAAAAAGGGGCACAAGTCACTTTATTATCAAACTACAAGAAATGCATCAAAGGGACAGCAAGGATTTGGCTTCATCCTACAAAATTAAGGGAATGCAGGGAGAGGCTGCACCCTAAGGCCTAGCTCTCCGGTAGGGCTGGTCGAAAACTTTTTGTCAAAACCATTTGTCAACAGAAAATTGGGTTTTCAACTAAATGACATTTGTCATGAGAAGTGTCTGCTTTCCATGTGACTGCCATGATGCGCCACGAGGGCAGAGCATGGTGCATCGTGGAAGATGTAGTCCAACCTATAGAGGAGAATGGGAGCAAGAAGCACTTGAACTACAACTCCCATGAGGCACTGCAGAAGCATTTCAGAATGGAAATATTCTAAATTTTGATATTTCGATGAAGCTCAAAATTGTCCATGGAGAAAATCCCCATTGTCTAACCAGTTCTATTCATTACTATCTAGATACTGTCGGAGGCTGGCATACCCTTACACTCAAAACCAGAGACGTCTGGGGCAATTATGGACTGAGCCTCTGCGAGCTTAATTCTGAGTTTCCCTGGCCTTGGGAGTTGATCTCTGACCCAGGGCAGTAGTGACATCACATGTAGCACTGTTGATTTCAGTGGAGCGGTGCTGATTTACATCAGTGAAGGTATTTTGCATGGAGAATTGGGCATGCTGTCTCCTAATGCTGGCTTCAGGGTTGTCATCACAGCTGCTAAGAGTTGTGGGGATTTTTTCTTTCATTGCTGGGATCTCAGCTTATGAGGCCCCCTGAGCTATGAGGGAGCTGGTGCCATGTATAGGTAGGACTCTCCATTTCAACAGCTCGCACCATCAACACCAGGATGCTGCCTTACTCTACAGAATTTCCTAAGCTCTCCTCAGGACCCGCCAGCACACATGGGAGAGAGTGTTCCTAGGACTTCAGCCCAATGTGCATATATGACTTACAGCCCACCTGCCAATTGTTTGTCTGACATGTGGTTCTATGTAATGATCGATATATTGATGATTATCAATTTGCTGGCAATGGAGGCAGCATTGGAATGTTTGCTCTGGTCTACACAGGAATAAAATACGTGCAAAAATCATTAGCTCATTTTCTATACGTGTGTACATTCAGCAAGACAGATGCAAAAGCAGCAGCTATTGTCTGCAGACAATAAGCTTTATGGTTTACTTCTAATGTATAGAACAAAGCCTGATAGATACCTGTAGCGGGGCGGCCTGGCTTCCAGGCGCCCCAGGAAGGGACGAGCCCCACCCCGGACCTACTACAATACCCATCTATGTGGAGGAGCAGAAATAACAATAGTAATAATAACAGAGATCAGTATAGTATCTTTCTTCCTGGAGAGTCCTAGCGCATTTTACAGGCTGTCTATATACATAAGGATTACTCAGACATCACTAAAATGCAGCCACCTCTGGATTAGAACAGGGCAACCATTTGCACCAGCATCAGTTTCTAGGCAGGGAAATGAAGAATATCTTCTCTCATTGAAAGAACAGAGAGAAGTTCTGGTTGGCAAGTGGAGCTGGGATTTGACAGCAGAAAGTGTTTGAGGAGTTCACTGTGATCTCTGTTTCTGTATTAGGTTCCTGCACGTAGGTTGCCTGGATGATGCTCTCTTCCGTGTTGTAGTTGTGGCCCAAGAATTCCGAATGCAGCGGGATCCTGCACAGCGACAGAACAATGCACAGTGACTTGCTGGGGGTCAATTCATGTCTTCTTTGCTCTAGTAACCTGCTGCTATTCATCTCCCATGCAAAGCTCAGCCACGTTTCAGATGCACTGCATTACGCGTCACCTCAGTCTAGCACAGAACAGGCTCCAAGTCTCGAGCTTACAGCATACAGTGGCATTGCAGAGAGCCAAGAAATGTTTGAGTTATGTATTTCTAAGCTGAGATTCTTGGCTCTCTACCCCAATTAAACCTACGAAGATCTCCCCGGGATCTGTGTCACGCAGCTTTCCACAGAAGCCAGAACCACATCACCCTCTGCAGAAGCCCTTTGGGTTCTATAAAGTGATGAAGAACAATAGGTTTGCACCTTGCAAAGGGCACTGACGGCATCCAGCTAGCCAGGGACCGTTCATCCCACGCCCATTGTGCTCTTCCAAATCGAAAGCCCAGTGCTGCTGCCAGGATGGAGTGGCAGCCTTGTGCTCTCTCCCTGCTCGGTTGTTTTTGTGGAGGTTATTACGTCACAGCCCGTCTCACACCTTGCTCCCTCATCTTCCAGACAGGCTGGCAAAATAACCCATCATTCATGTCCAATTCTCGCATGTGAGGAATCTTTTCCCCACTGGGTTCATGTGGACGTGATGCTGACCGAAAGCTCAGGATCTGGAGATCTCAGTGGCTGTGATCAGCCAAGTCAACAACTGGTGACCTGCTGCTACAATTGAGAAGCCGCATGGATTTCTTACTGGGGAGGCAGCTGGCTTACCTCCTGAGAGCGTGGTTAGGTAGCAAAGCCACGGACCAAGGCTAGGGAACAGCAACAGCTGAAGAAAAAGAACACTATCCTCAGACCCTCCTCTTCTTCCCCCTGTGCAGGAGTCCCCCCCATTCCCTTACCTCCACAGCCAGCCAAAAGATGCTGGGGAAAAGACACTGTTCCTGCTAGGCTGAAAGGGGCTACATGTCTCCACCCCTTGTCCCTATAATTACACCCTTGCCAGCAGAGTCTGGCCAGTGGCGTTTTCTCCTAATTCCTTCATTCAGTTTCCTTCCTTTGCTAGACGCAGCTGGGATTTTATTATATCATATTTACTGCAAGCCAAGAATAACAGCTCTTAACTTAGTACTGAAGAGATGGAAAGGCACAACAAAGAAAACAATCAGTGCCCTGTAATAGTCTGGATACAGAAATAGCACTTGAAAGTAGAATGAGCACAATATGATCTATTGCGCCCGCCCTGACATGTGACAGGACCCTCAGCCAATGGGGCCAATGGAGCTGGTCCATTTTGTCACTGGCTGTAGATTTTTGTTTTGCAGGGAGCATTGATAAGGGAGCTCATGCTGGGCATTTGTTGAAGGTAACTCTGGCTCAGTAGAAAGCGACACCGAGCCCTTTCTAAACACTTCACAAGCACTTATATTTTTAACGTAGTAAAGTTAAAATGGCAAAGACTGGCACAGACACGTGTGTCCAGGACTGAATACAAATTAGTACATTCAACTTTAATTACCCTCAGGTGGTCTGCATTAGTTTCACAGGTGAGCCTGACTCTCAGCCTTACCTTCTTCGTGTTCTTCTCTCCTCCTCCTGTTGTATCCTTCACTTAGACTGTCAGTGACTTGGGTAGGCAGAACGTATGTGCTTCGTAAAGTACCAGGCACATCTAGGGGGCTCTGTAATTAACAAAAAATAACAATGATGATATCTACACAAGCACAGCAGGAGTCATATCACATGACAAAGGAGAGCTGGTGCCATGTATAGGTAGTCTAACCCTGGGGTCTAACCCTGGCTCTGCCACTAAATGCTGTGCGTTGTTGGGCAAGTCAAGCATAGCTCTTTGCCTCAGTCTCCCCCTATAAAATGGGGAGAGGAGGCCACCACATGGGTGTGTGAAGTTTGATGTGGCAACCCCCTATATGCAGAAGCATTGCAACCTCACCTCCGCATGCAAACAACCACACACAACACAAACCAATATGCACAAGTACCAGCCACTTGTATGCACTCACACTGAACACATATCTATCTGCACAGGGGCTGTACTGGATCACTCACCTACACACAACACAAACCACTAAGCTTAGGCACCTGGGATCCTGCACACCCACACAGCTGTGCATATATGACAGAAGCTATCTGCACCGGGATACAGGCAAATGCACATCTCACATATACACAGGGACATCACATATCAAAAACAAACTGTCATACTGGGGCAAGTCACTTTTTGGAAACGCAGAGTGGTTTTGTAGCAAAGATGGCATGGAAGAGCCCAGAGTCCTCCAGTCATCAAAGATTGTTTTCAATTCACACTGTGTAGTTTCCTTCTGAATGTGGCCTCACACCTCCCCAAGTGCCTGCACCGCCACATAGGGGAAATCCTGTCTTGTCTGACCTCTTTGTGTCAATGTGCCAATGTGTCTGACAGTTATATAGGTTAATAACGTGCCATGTGACTGCAAGAAACAGAAAACTGTGACGCTGTGTCAATATTTAGCTTTTTCACAGCTTTTTATCCTTATTAAAGAGCTATCAGTGATTCCCTTGGAAGATACATGCCTCCTGTTCTTTATTTCCCTCCCATACTGTATGCTCCCAGTTCACATGGGATAAGCATCAATTCATTATTTCTGGAGATCATTGGTTGCAAACAGCATGTCCCAAGATGCTATTCCCAGCCACTGGATGTCAGAAAAAATTAGATTAAATAAGGCTCTGTGAATTATTCATGACACTGGATTTAACATTAATCGGGGAGAAATGGGCAAAAGTTTACTGTACTACAGATGATAACATTATATTCCCAGAAAGACAAAGAGACGTGGCTCATACTTACTGGGAAAGATCAGAGATACGGTGTCAAACAGAGAAATACCCAGGTCCAATGTGATCAGAGCCTGGCTGATGGGATATGAAATGCAGGCAGTGGTCCATCACCCAAATACTTCCTGCATCAGGAGTTCCTGTGACTTGCTCTTATTAATAAGGCCTGGGCAGCTGGCTCTGTGATAATGAACATCTTACGAGATGCACTACTGCTTTTTGTATTGTTTCTCGTCTCCAAAAGCTCACTGGATCAATGCACTACAGCTTGGTATTAAAGTAACTAATTATCAGCCTTATGACCTATGACTAAAAAAATACTTCACTGAAGTGTTTTTATTGGACACATCTCATCTACAGTGTGTGGGGAAAACTGGGCATCTGCCAAGCAGTGACTATAAAACACACAATCCTGTCCCGCAATGCATCAGACTTGCTGTAAAACCTGGGATGATTTTGTAGGCAGTATACACTTCTTCAGTTGTTCCAAAGTCCAAGTCAGAAATATGGAAGGGATCTAACCAGGATGACACACTTGTTACTTCTCTGTGACAGTGATTTGGAAACTTATTGACTAAACATTTTTTTGCTGAAGTCCCATTGCATCAAAAACAAAACATTGTGAAAACGTATCCTTTTCTATGCAAGTTTTGACAGGATGGTTTCTCAGGTCCGGGGTAGACTCTCGGAGACGGGGAAGTGGAAGAGCTACAGAGAGAGAACAAAACCCTGGCTGTTTTGATCCAAAAACAGACGTTTCGACACTATTTCATTTTGCAAAAACTTTTGAAAGTTCTTGGTTTTGTTCCAATGTGGAATGAAAAAAGAAAAGTCAAAAAACCTCAAAAGTTGTCATGAAGTGGAATTGTCGTTTTTCCAAACAGCTCTGTTCTCCATGCTTGAGTCCCTGTAAAAAGCCAGCCCTTAGCCCCCATTGTGAAGCAAAGCCACTTTAGCGCCCTGCCTGACAATTCCTGCAAAACAAGGTCATCGCCGAATAAGGGTAGCACAGAAATAGTGTAGCAGGCTCTATGCTCCACTTCCAACCCAGCATAGGAGGCGTGACTGGGGGACAGAGTGCAGCAGCGCTCCAGTGATCCCTCACTGCTAGGACACCCCTCTGGGTGCTGGGAGCAGATGAGGACAGACAGTCTGGTTCTGTCACACTGGGTCTAGTTTCTGCTCTCTGTCTTGTCTTTATGTCAGCTCCAGCACTCTGTACACTACCCCTCCGCTGGTTAAAACTCAACGCCTCATAAAATACACCTGACAAATAACCAAGCCATTTGTACAGCGGGGGAAGTTCTATATTTGACGTAGCACGTTCCAGATTTAGAAAAGAGCCCGTCAATGAACTCCATTCAGTATGAGGGACAAAAGCTGTTAAACAGCCTTGCTCCAAAATGTCTTGATTCTGCAGCCTTCCACCGTACAGGGGAGTGAGTCAGAGAGACCTGAATGATCGGAGTGTTCATCTTCTTGGCCAGCTCATTCATTTAGCAGGTTGGTCTACAAATGCCAACCCAGTGACTCAACAGTCTAGTCATAGGGTCAACATGCTTTTCTCATTTACCCACACAGTGCGTTTGTTAGCAGGCATCTTTTGCAAAGGCTTCCTGTCAGAAGCCCTCAAGCAATCCCACTTCGCGGACAGGAAGCGGGTCAGAGTTCCAAAGGCAGACATTAGCCAAACCTATGCTGGGCTCACGACTGGCCAGAGCTGTGCTTCTCCCGGTGAATCTGGCTGTGGAATCTTGCTCGAGTCCCATTGTCATCTCAGACAACGAGAGCTGGGTTGAAGGATGAATTTATTGTCAGCACAAAGTGAGCCACTGGAGGGGAAGTGTTTGTGATCTAAAGTGTGGGTCACATTGGGGATCGAGGGCAGCTCTAGTTATAGGGAGGGCCTGAAACAGGGAATATTGTGGTTATTGCTATTAATGTGTACAGGCTCAGATTTTCAAAGGAGCCTAAAGGAGTTAGGTGCCCATCTTTGGTTGAACTTCAGTGTGATCTGGGTGCCTAACTCTTGTAGGGGCCTTTGAAAATCTCAGCCCGATGGCATAGTAAGAGAACAACGGGTAAAAGACATCCAGCCAATAAGAGGGCCCTGCCCCAAAGAGCCCCACCTTTGCAGGACAAGACGAACACCATGGGAGTGGGGAGAGATTCTTCACAGGACCAGTAGGTGATCAGGTGGTTCTGGAAAGAGAAGAGAGAGGTAGGTTTGTCAGTGTGATTGGGAAACTGTTCCAAGTGCAAGGGGTGGAATGAAAGCAGGTGCAGCTGGCATGGAAAAAAACAGGAGGGGGCTGAGAGAGCTGGGTGGTTGTAGCTGGGATAGTCTGGATCTAACAGGCCCTGATGTTTATTTTCTGCTGTGCTTTTTCTCGTGGGAAACAAGTGAACTGAGGAAGATTCCAGGATAGATTGGAACTGACATTTGGTTTAAATTTGGCAATAGTTAAAGAGAAGAGCTGGGTTTCAGCACACAGAGAAAACCTGGAATAATCACCGTTGAAATGTCAATCCCAGGGCAAAGTAATCTTAGCTGTCTTCCCTATATACCACCGCTCAGCAGGGATGTACCATGGGGCAGCCCTGGCCAGCCACCACGCACTGTGGGGTCACACTGCAAAGCCGCACTGTGTGGCTACCACCACATCGCCTGAGATGCAGTGTGGGACTGAGTTTCTGCAGCTCTGCTCCTCCACTGCTGCTTGTGTCTGATTCCCAGCACCATCTCCCTGTCTCCTCCCATTGGGTTGTATTCCCCTCTGCCAAAACCTGCAGCTCTCTCCCCACCACGCCCCTTCCAGGGACAAGTCCCCTGCCGCCCCGCCTGACTCCCTTCCTAGAATCAGAGCCTCTTGCATTCTCCAGGAGAAGCCCCCCGATAGCAGTCTGAAAGAAGGGAAGTGGGGTGTCTATCATCACATGGAAGCAGCAGTTTTGGTATGTGATGGCTTAAAGAGCCAGCTCAATATTTATGTGTCATTGGTTTTTTGGCTGGGCCTGTGACCCCTTGAAGCCCTGCCCCCATACACCCTTTTAAGCACTGCCTGATCCCTCCCCCAATTACCAAACCCTAAAGCAGTGTTTCTCAAATGCGGCCATGGTGGCCACATGCGGCCGCCAGGGGCTTTCCTTGCGGCCACAGTCCCCTGGGCTGTGTATGTGTGTGTGGGGGGGGAGTAACAGCGCCTCCCTCTCCCTGTTGCTCCTGGATTCACCCCCTTGGTGCTGGTTGCTGGGACCGCCAGCAGGGGTTGGGCTCTGCCCCCCTCTGGAGACAGCTAGGGCACAACGCTAGAGGAGCAGGCAGACCGTGAGTTCCCCACCTTCCCAAGGGTGACGGGGCTCAGGCTTTGGGGTTCAACCCTGGGGTGGCAGAGTGGCAGGCTCTGCCTGTGGTGCTTCGGGCTCCTGTCCCAGGCTCAGGCTGCACGGTGGCCCCTCATCCAGGGAATAATTTGTCCTCGGGCTTGGCAGGGCTGAGTAAGTCTACTGTGAAAAGTGATACTTGCAGACTTACTAGCTAGCAATAAATAAATTACAATGATTTGGACGTATATATGTGCATGTTTATTTGTTTTTCCTAAAGCTAATTAAGTATTTTAGGGAAAAGTGTGAGAGCGGCCACCAGCAAGAATTGGTGGCCACACTCTGAGGCCACCAAAAAATGTGTCCTGAAAACCCCTGCCCTAAAGCATGTGTCCATGGCAAGTGCTCTCCCACAACGCCCTTGCCCCAGACCTATCCAACAGCCCCCTAGAAACCAGTCTTTGCTCTGTGTGAGGCCTGAGTGATGAGCAGCCACATGGAGAGGCATCTGGGGCCTGAGACAACTCCCCTGGCAACTGATCAGCCTTCAGAAACACACCATATGCTGCCTGCGAGTACCTGCAGCCTGCTGATAGGCATTTGCAAGATCTCTTCCAGGTGGTTCCTAGCCAGGAGAAGGCTTTTACTGCTGGGCGATGGCAGGACTGTGCGTAGGACACAGATGTTCTCCCACATGTGCGCTGCATTTCCACTTTGCCTGCATCAGAGCTCGTATGCGAGGCCTGTCCGTGCTCCGTGTGATGGAGCAAACCAGTCTTTGCCTTTGGCCCCGCTGGGTCCATCTTGCTGCTCACAGCAGGGGCCTCCCAGCTGTCAGAGGCTCTGCCAAATTGACTCAACCGGGCTTCAGCAAGTTCCCTATTTCCTGCTCGGGTCCTAGTTAGGGAAGTTCTGCAAGCAGGGAGGTAGAACTGACAAGCGATGGGGTTCAAAGCCAATTTCCAGCAGCAGGAGGAGATTATCCTAGCTCTGACACCTAGCAGGGAAGTCAAAGACCCCCCTCTGCCTCCCTGGAGGAGTCTCCCTCCACTGCTGTAACACAAATGCCATAAAGCGAGGTCCCTGCTGGCACACAAGTTCATTTTCTGGAGCTCTCACCAAATCTTGTTTGGGATTTGTAAACATGAAGCGAGAACTGATCTGTCAGCAGACAAACTAAGATTAGTAAGAGCATGGCCCTTGCCCAGGGCAGTTAACAGCTGACAATCTCACACTGCAAACGGAACTAGCAGCACATGGGGAACATCATTGCTAGCCCTCCATTCACCCCCCGCGTCCTGCAGCTGCTCTGCGGCTTCCTGATGCAGTTTTGCTTATGCAGCCTAACCCAGTAGCCCCTGACCCTTCTCAGCCCTGGGATTCAGACAGAGGATACCGTTACCTGTGGTGCTGGGACCAAGGCTTTGCCGAGAGCTGGGAGGTGATGCTGAGTCCTTCTTATCAAGCTGCCCTGCAGTGTCTCAAGTGCACAAGTACCCACCTCAGGGCAGACTGTTAAGAGGCAGGGTACAAATCCCAAGTTGGCTGTGAGTTTTGTATTTATTTCACCAACCAGTTATCAAGTGGAAACTCCCCAGGCCCTATAACAGCCTTAATATAGAGTCACTGACAATCCCCTTGGGTACTTCCATTCTATCTTGCCACCCAGGTAAACTTACCTTTGTGATAGGTGGTTCTTTACACCAAGAATCACAGCAATATCCCGTCACTTACCCCCGGTCAATTGTATCCTAGATCTCACACCAAAGATAATGCTTGTAGCCAATCCTATAATAAAATGTACACATTTCCTTTTCCTATTTAAGGAATATAAGAGAATTATTTATAATGTTAAAGCACAAATGATACACAGATACACAAATGAGTTACAATCTTAAGTTTCAAAAGGTGATAGAAGCTTCTATAATCAGCGAACTCTATATGTCCTTTAGGGCTAACCTTGGCTAAGCACTGGGGTTCTCTTACTTATGTCTAGAAAACCTGCCACCCAGAGTCCAAGCAGCATAGAGATACCGTTCCTTCTTGTGAGGGGTTTTTACTCCCTTCCCCACATGTGCTCTGAGCTGCAAACTCAACTGATGGAAGGAATCCACTTTCATGACTCATCTCCCTGGGGTGGGGGGGAAGAGATGAGCAACAAAGTCTTTTGTCCTCTTTAATGTTCCCCAATGGTACGCCTGGCGTCAATGGGCCTTCCTTGGTGGCCAAGATGTAACACCTTCTGTTGGAGATCAGCACTTAATACTACTTAATGTTTCTCTCCTGTCTGGTGAGTTTGTTACACAGTCACAGAGGCTTACAATACAAATGCTTAAATATTATCTTACAATATGGAATACAGATGCTATAAGTGAGATTAATGCAGGCAGCAACTCACAAGCAACAATAAAGTCTAAACACTAAACACATTATTATAATTCTAATACCTACCTTAACAATAGGTCAGGAAGGAATTTTCCCCCCAGGTCAGGTTGTTGGTTGGGTTTTTTTGGTTGGGTTTTTTTGCCTTGCTCTGCAGCATGGGGCACGGGTCACTTGCAGGTTTAAACTAGTGTAAATGGTGGATTCTCTGTAACTTGAGGTCTTTAAACCATGATTTGAGGGCTTCAGTAACTCAGCCAGAGGTTAGGGGTCTATTTCAGGAGTGGGTGGGCGAGGTTCTCTGGCCTGCAATGTGCAGGAGGTCAGACTAGATTATCATGATGGTCCCTTCTGACCTTAAAGTCTGTGAGTCTATAACGATGCTTGCACCACAGACGGGAGCGGTGCCAGGGTTTTTGCCGCCCTAGGCGGGGGGGTCCTTCCGCGCTCCTGGTCTTCGGGGCACTTCAGCGGCGGGTCCCAGAGTGAGTGAAGGACCCGCCGCAGAATTTCTGTCGAAGACCCGGAGCACGGAAGGACCCCCCCCCCGCAGAATTGCCGCCCCCCAAATCCTGCTGCCCTAGGCGACCGTCTAGGTCGCCTAAATGGAAGCGCCGGCTCTGACCACAGAGGTGAGTCAGACTGGCTCCAGTTATGTATTTGCCAGTGTTCAGTTGAGACCTGGGGACCTGGGCATGAGCTGGCACCTGGTCTGCCAGCGTCCCTGCAGCTGCTTCTCCACTGACAGCTGTCACTTCTGCTGCTTCTTCACAAAGGAAACATGGGGGTGGGGGTCTTTGCTGGGCTCTCATCCTGTCTTCCCCCCTCCCTGCTCTGCTCCCCCTTTGCCTTTTTCATTTTGTGGGCAGCATTAGTGCCAAGGACAAGGACTGAATGGGGCCATGGAGTCTGAATGCCCCTCTCCCCCTGATGGAGGTACATCCCTTGCACTCACTGTGCCTGTGTCATGCAGGTATTTATCCACAAGGGGCGTCTTTCACCAGCTCTGAATCCACTGAAAACTTGCTGTAGGAAGCACAAGTGCGGGATGCATTTGGCAAAATCTATCCAGGGGAAAACAGCTGAGACTTTCCTCTTGGATCTGTGCTCTGGAGCTGCATTAATCTTCAGACTGTAACAGAGTCTGTTTTCAAACATACAGTCAAGCACCAAGTTAATTGGAGGCTGTTCTGGAACAGAAGATACGAGCTTATTGAAAACATAAAACCACCGGGGCACTTCCCACTTGCCAAATATCAGGATCATTGACAACTAATTAGCAATTAATAATTGTAGTTGGAAATATCAGACTGCATCATCACAGATAGATAGGCATCCTCAGGCTGTAGACATAACTAACTGGGTGAGGAGAAGTGAGATTTGCATTGGTTGCACCTGGATAAACTCGGAGTCGTATGAAAATTGCCAGGGGATGTTCGATAGGCCTGTCAATAGAGCTGAGCAAATAACTGATTTTGCAGTTGCAAGGGGAGCTTGCAGGGCCCCTGCAGAGAGAAAACTGGTCACATGAGGTCACATTTTCAAAAGGGCTCAGCAGGTCTCACTTCTGATGAGTTTTTCAAAGGGGCTCAGCATTCAAAAGGGCTAAACTTTTTTTTAAAATCTGGGGTACAATCTTCAAAAGTGTTTAAGTGACTCAGAAACCAGTTCCATTGACTTTCAATGAGACTAGGCTACATTCCCTTTTGAAAATGGAAGTCGGCCTCCTGAGACACTTAAGCGCTTTTGACAATTTGACTCCTACTCCCTTATTTTGGTGCCTATGTGGGAGCCGTGAACTTTCAAAGATACTGGCCATGCTACGGGCTCCCTTCCTTGCCTCCAGCTGCAAGAAAGAACAGATAGGAGAGGGAGACTGAACGAAGAGTAAATGTAGACATTGCAATCTACATATTTTTCAAAAATGATAAAACATTTATTGCACTAAAGACAACCAAAGATACGTGAAATACTTTCCTATTGTTACTGCTGTAGGCAAGGAATTGCGGTAGGTGCCCAGGGAGGTTGTGAATTTGGGACTGGAAGGGGAAGAATACGACATGATCCAGACTTTGGAAAAGTTTAAGGCCCTGTGATCCATGTCATAGCTATCACCAGTTACCAGGTAATGAGTCCAAGCATGTCCCAGGCCCATCACATCTCACTATTTGTATTACAGGATGAGAAATGTCATTGCTGCTAGCAGTCGCTCTGCCTCTAAAAGACAACCCCAACGAGAGAGTCTGAATGGATTTATTGATGGCCTCTCCTGTGGTTTCTGGTAATACTCTTATTTCTCTGTGTTAACCGATCTCCTTACAACTGACCACTGAGCACAGTGAGAGCCCATCATCTTCATCATCATCATTACACTGAAGGCACCGCAGATGGCCCGAAGCACTGAGGCAGGCCAGAGAGGAGCCAGCAGGGTTGTGTGGTGAAAGCTCCAGCACTTATTAAGGTTTGTGGCTTCTTCCAGCTTGTTTCCATTTCCTGGCTATTTATGCTTGTGGGATTTCCATTTATTTATGGTAATCAATCCTTGCAGCTTTGACGTTTCAAGGTCACCTTGGAGGCCCTAGTGCACTAGTCCTACTCAAGGCTTAAATTCTCAAAGAATATTTCCCGGAGTTCCCCCGTGGGAGGTTCGGGGGCTCGGGCCCTCAGCCCCACGGGTTTAAAAATATGTATCGGAGCGCCACTCCGGACAGCTCCAGCTGAATTTAAGTCCTGGTCCTGGCCCTATTGAAGTCAATGGGAGTTTTGTCATTGACTTCAGTGGAACCAGGGCTTGACCTTGGCTGGTTTGGAAGCAGGGCCGGCTCTAGGCACCAGCAAACCAAGCACGTGCTTGGGGCAGCACATTTTCAAGGGCAGCATTCTGACCATTTTTTTTTGTGCTTCGGGCGGCAAAAGCCTAGAGCCGGCCCTGGCAGCAGCAGCGCGTCGTGCACGGGGGGCGCCCTGGGGCCGCTGCAGTTCACGCCGCAGGGGAGCAGCGCCCACACCTTGTGGCTGGGCCGGGCAGGCTTCGAGCGGGGGACACTCAGGCTGGGGGACACCCCACGGGGCACACGGAGCTGCCTGCAGGTGCCGCAGGGCGGCCGCCCCCCAGCGCTGCAGCCGGGGCTGGGCGAAGCAGCCCAAGCCGCCCAGGGACTGTGGCAGGGCAGCCAGAAGCAGCAGCAGCAGCGGGGCCATAGAGGGCGGGGCGCTGTCGGGCGGGGCCCGCGTCCCGCTCTCCGGAGCTCTGCTGCCTCTGGGGCTACCCTGCCCCGGCTCCTCAGCCCTCTGCCGGGGCGGTCCCCCGGCTCTGCCCTCCCGGGTCCCGGCCAGTCTTGGAGGCGGGAGCCCTGGATGGAGGGACCTGGGCTGAGGTGCAGCCCGGGATCCCCGCTGCTTACCCCGACCCTGCCAGCGCCGGACCGGCTGGATGAGAAGGGGGAGCGGGCACAGTCATCACTGGTGGGGGGGAGCCCAGGGCTGGGGCAGCAAGGGGTGCGGGGGCGGGGAAGAGAGAGCCCAGGACTGGGGTGGCAGGAGGTGTGGGTGGGAGGGGGGAAGAGAGAGCCCAGGGCTGGGGTGGGGGGCAGCCACATTTTTTTTTTGCTTGGGGCGGCAAAAAACCTAGAGCCGGCCCTGTTTGGAAGGATGGGTGGTTGAGCGGGTAAGCTACTGGACTAAGAGTCAGGAGACCTGGGCTCTACCCCGGGCTCCACCCCAGGCTCCCTATGTGACCGAGGACAAGCCCACCATGCAGCCATTTGCCTCTTCCATGCATTTCTGCTCTTGCAGAAGGGGAATTAAACTCAGGGCCTGAGGAAGGCAGCTTAGCTGTGTATGGCCTGAAATATGCTATCTTCTGCAAGCTGCAGCTTCACAGCCTGGCACACAGGATGCCTCCTGTAGCGACAATCCCAAGAGACAATGAAGTGAGTCTCTAGATGATGGCATGGGGAGAAGCAAGTCTGTCAGCAGGCAGCAGATGGGGGGTGGTGGAGTAGAAGTGCAGAATATCTTTTTTTTTCCCAGAGCCACGCCTCATCATTATAGCGTGTGAACAGTCCCTTGTGGAAAAGGCTCACGAGAACACAAGGGGGGCAAACTGGTCTGTTGGTGCAGAGCCCAGCTGTCATGAGCTGAGAAGACTAACAAAAGCCATCTCCACTTCTGCCCTAATTTAGTTTTCTTGAACGGAAAGGGATTACTATTATTTTTACACCTAGATGTTAAAAGCCAGTGTGCTAATCGAATGACAGTTTGGCGATGGCTCTCTGCCTCACAAGCTCCTCCTGCATTTTCAGTTAGATACAGGATCCTTCTTCCCTTCCTGTCTTAAACGCTGGGTTGCGGAGCTACGTGCTGTCAAACGGTGGTGGCTTTTCGCCCCAGGGGTGGCTGCTTTTCCATGATCCCTGTGTGTACTTGGAAGGTCAGTTTGTTGCTTGGGAAGTGCTTTAGGATCCTTCTGGGCTGAAAGGAGTGATACAGATGCACTAGATTCATGTTTATCCTCTCCCCCGTATTTATTTACTGCTACATTACCATCGGCAATGGAGAGGCAACAAAGCCGACGTAAGCCAAGTGCTTTTTGCAGTGACTCACTGCATTCTTGTGATGGCTGCTTGCTTCAGACTATCCCTACCTCTGTGATTTGCTTCTAAACTGTAGAGAACACACAGGAAAAAGGCTTCTTCTCTCATTTCTGTGCAGGGGATTTGCCATCCCTGGGGATAGCCACACAAACCCAGTGGGCATCGGTGGGAGGAGAGACACCTGTCTGCACAAAGAGAGAAGGGGGCAGGATTGCAAGGAAGAGATGGTAAGGCATTTTCAGTTGACCTGCTTTCATGCCTATTTCCATCTCCACATCATCCCGAGTTAGTTCAGAAAAGTCATGCTCAGTACACATACCCGCTCTGCGCTGCTATACACAGTGGCATCTGGAGAACGCAAATAGAGAGCTCACAACAGAGAGGGGGGCCTGATTCTCAGTGACACTGTGGCCCCTGGCTCTGGCAGCATAAGGGGCCTGAAAGTGGGAGTAACTGAGTCCTGCTCACAGCAAGGCCCCTGTGGGGTGGGGTGAAAGGGCCTTGTGGAAAGAAGAGCTCAGACCTTGGTTTGCTAACAGGGGAGAACGTTCTCTCCCACATCTGAGCAGCAAGAGGGAATTTCACCCCAGCAGAAAGTCTGTGCACCACTTAAATCCCAGTTAAGCCCTCAAGTCCCAATTAAGACCTTTGAGGGCTTGTGCTGGCCTTCTTCACGGGGTGACTTTCACCCCAAATGTGCCCTTTCCTCATTGACTTCTCATGGTCAAAGGGTCCACAGGGTAGTTGGCATCAATAGAAAGTATCAAGAAATGCCCAGGGTGCCGGTGGCCCTTCCCAGCTTGAATCCACTGCCCCGTCCCTAGGTAGAAAGATCAAATGAAGGCAAGATGAGTCCCTTGTGGCACTCCAGAGTCCCTGATTTCCGACTGCAAACTCCTCGGGGCAACGATTTGCAGTGAAATCCTGCCCCATGGAAGTTGATGGCAAAACTCCAATTGACTTCTACAGGGCCATGATTTCCCCCCTGACATTTTCCCGTCCCTGCAAAGCCCTGTGGGCACTGATGACTCTCCATAAATAAATAATAAGGGATCTGCCCCTCTCCACAAGAGTCACTGCCTCATCTGTCAGCTGGAGTGTTAGAAAGGGAGTTGTGGGGTGGGGTTCATTCTGGGCAGGGCTTGAAGTTCTGCTTTATGCTGGACTCTTGTCACCACTGGTTATCTTTGCTGGACGGTGGTTTTTACGTAAATGCACCAGAGGCTACTGATGGGCACTGCATATTTTACAGCTAAATACAAGAAAGAAATAATGCGACTCAAAGGGTCATAAAGCGGGGGCCTCAGGGCAAACTTCCTCTCCAATAAAATGGCTGTCTGAAAAATATTTGGAGGAAAAAGAAAATCCAATTTGACTATCATGCAAAAAGGAGATGCTGAGAAAACTGAATTTAAAATACATCCCTGACCCCTCTCTCAGGGCTGGGGAATCGCTAAATCTGCCACCATAATTACGGACACATATTTATTCTGGGATGCTCTATTCAGATGAACTCACATACATTTACTCCCCGGTTTCCAGACTGCTGAGCCATCCCTAATTACCATAAAAAATAAATAACTTTTGCTTCATATCACAGCAGAGAGGAATTTCCCTTTGTCTTTTGAGGCCTCCCTTGAAGACTCCCTCCCCCATGCTGCCTCCTTCCCACGTAAACAAGCGGGTTGAAACACACAGAGACACTGACACATCACACACGGAAACACACAGGTCCTCCAACAGGAACGAGCTTATTCTGCTACACAGAACTATTACACTAGTGACCAACCCACCAGAGTGAAACATGCAAAGCCCAGGCAGGCCCTCACCAAAACTACAATCCAGGACCAGCGGGACACGAAGCACAGTTCAAACACAAAATGGAGAGATGGCACAAAAAATGTGACTCAGAAGACATTGACAGAGATTGACTTTCTGCACAAACTAGATTGTCAGCTCTTTAGAGCAGGGACCGTCTTTTCATTGCACACCTGTACAGCACCTAGCAGTATGGGGCCCTTGTTTAGGGCCCCTAGGCGCTATCACAGAGTGACTACAGAGACTACTACTCCTACTCCTACTCCTACTACTAATAATAATAGTTGTGTCTGAAACACAAGGGAGCAAGAAGCAGAGGTTTCCTCAAACTATCAGGAAGATACAAATACATTTTTTATCAAAAAGCAATAAGAGAAAACTGCATCTAACCTGGAAGAAAGGCGAGAGAGGGCAGCGACCTGCCACCCGACTTGGAACGAAGAGGACATGGGATAAAATCCCAAACTTAGTATGAAGTCTCATTCTGGGCTGATTGTGTAGAGATCACCTGTACAGACTCTCATAGATACCGACACAGCCACGTTGCATTCAAATGTAACCCCCAGCCCTCACCCGACAGAGCGCTAAGATTTTTCCTTTCCTATCACTCCACCCTGGTAACTGACCTCTGATATAATGTGTAGGATTGTAATAGTTTCTGGGCCCGCCTGATTCATAGAGATTGCCCTGGGTGGCAAAGGCAGCCCAGTGAACTGAAATGGGATGACTGCCATGCCTGGGGCTTTTCTGGATTCATTCATCCTACAACAATCTCCTCTTAAAGAGACAGTGGGGTGTCCTCCTAAGCCTCCCCGCCTAGGTGATTCCAAGTCAGTGAAGATGCCTACCAAATGTCCTGTCCTGAGAGCATCTCAAACATGAGGCATAGCCTGGTTTCCCAGATGTGCACAATGCTGCCTCATGGTTCTGCAAGGTTCTAAATGCATTTTGAAGACTGCCCACTGTCTTAACTCTCCTGAGATCACCTTTCCACCAAACACAGAGTTTAGCAATACATGGACAAGAACTGCTGCCAGGGTCACATCCTTGTGCTGGGTGTGCCAGTGAACAATGGTGACCATGCTCCTGGAGCCTGAACACTCCGGGACAGATGCATCCCTGGCATAACTCCACTGATGTCCAGATAGTTTCACCCAGGATAAATTTGCTCACACTAGCAAGAGGGTGCAGAATTCCTCCGCCACCAGTGCTAGACTAGCCCCTGGGTGGTGCTATCCCATCCTGCTCAGAGCAGCCACTCCCAGTGCTGGGAGCTCAGGAGAGCTGCACTGGTGGTAGGAGGTTTTCACAAGCTAGACAAGCTGTAGTGTAGATGGCAGGTCAGTCTGAGCAGGGTTAGATGACAGTGTTAAAATGCCGGGCTACATGGCATCTCTCACTGCTAGTACCACCTGTAGCTGTGCCAAGGGGGAATTGTCTGTCCTAACCTTGCCAAAGGAGGTAAAAGTTTTATATCCTCACTGGAAATAATTAATCCAGACCTTTAACTTTCATTGAAGGGGGGGCGGGGGGAGCTGTCATTTCCCCTAAAGCCCCTGCGGGTTTGTTCACACATCATACGTGGTTATGCTGCCAGTGCTCCTGGAAGAACACGTTGAATGTTATGCATGTTTATTTTTTCCAAGGACTACTCCACTACATGCATGTCTTATCCCTGTAGGGCCTGATCCAAAGCTCACCGGCACCAATGGGCATTGGTTTGGTGAGCGGTGGATCAGCCCCGTAGTCCCTCTGTTCCTCTCTCCTCCCCCTGGGCTCCTTTCGGTCGGTCGTCCCAGCAGATGCCCTGCCTGGTCCAGCCTGGGGAGCTCGCTCCTGGGGCTGACTTTTATGTCTGACACTTACCGGGGGCTGCTTGGAGGCCGCAGCTTCGGGAATCTCTTTCTCTCTCGGATGCACAATAAGAAACAAATGCAGCAGCTGTTGACTGCGAGGGGTTATTCTGCCAGAGACCCTTACGGGGCACTTTCCCGTTCGGACACCACCTGTCCTAATTAATTACCGCCCCCGGGGAGGGGGAAGGGGGTCCAGGCGGCCGCCCCGGCAGCACAGCTGTAATGCAGCAGCGGGCCAGGGCGCCGGCTCCCGAGCAGCCTTGGTTGCTCTCGGGGATTTGCTGCTGAGCTCACAAGGGGAGATCCGCGCTCGGCCGAGAGGGGCAGATGGCAGCTCGGAGCGCGTCAAATGCCCCCTGATCCCTAAGGAGTTTTTCTTGCAATGGATACAGGGGGAACTTCCAGACGGTGCCTAGCGCTGAGCTGTCCGCCAGCCCCTGGCTCCTGGGGCGGACGGGCTGGGCTTTAAAAGGCAGAGGATGGGCGCGGGCAGCCCGCTCCCGGGGAGGCTGGGCAGGTGCCTCGCGCTCACCCAGCGCAGCAGCGGCCGGAGGGAGCCGGGAGCAGGCACCGCGCAGTCCGGGCGCTAGGAGAGCAGGAGCGAGGGCCGGAGCCGGAGCCCTCCCAGCTCCGCTTGCCGGGCGCGCGGGGCGGCCGGGCAGAGGCAGGGTCCCAGCATGGAGGCGCCAGGCTCTGCCTAGGCTCCCCGGAGAGGGCGCAGGGGCTGAGGGACTGGTCCGGGAGGCGCACACGCACCGCTGCGGCTTGTTGGGCTATCAGGTAAGAGAGGGGCACACGGTGCCCAGCGCCTCGGGGCGGCTTTAGGGGCATCCCCTCCCCTCCCCTGTGCCAGGGTCTCTGCCTCTCCTCCCCTGTGCCAGGGACTCTCCGGTCTCTGCCTCCCCTCCCCTATGCCAGGGTCTCTGCCTCCCCTCCCCGGGTGGGACCCCCACCTCCTGTGCCAGGGACTCTCCCTCTTCACCACTTCTCTGTGCCAGTGTCTCTGCCTCCCCTCCCTGGGTGGCACCTGCCCACCTCCTGTGCCAGGATCTCTGCCTCCCCTTCCCTGGATGGCACCCCCTACACACATACACCCCCCTGTGCCAAGGTCTCTGGTTCCCTGGGTGGCACCCCACACACAAACAGACACACCCTGTGCAGGGTCTCTGCCTTCCGTCCCCTGGGTTGTTCCCACACACGCACACACCCTGTGCAGGGTCTCTGCCTCCCCTTCCTTGGGTGGCACCCCATTCCCCCCCCTGCAGGGTCTCTGCCTCCCCTCCCCTGGTCAGCACCCCATGTGCCAGGACACCCTGGCCCATTCCCCAGGCACAGGCGGGCATTAGTGGCAGCCTGTTTTTCCCTCCCCTCTTGCCCAGGAATTTCTGGCTCCCCTGGGCTGTGGCGCTTGAGTCACTCACATGCTTTCCATGCAGAGCCACAGGCTGAAGGAGGAGGGGGCTCCCATTGGCAATTTCTGGCACTGCTGCTTCCCACCTGGAGCAGGGGCTGAGAAGCAGGAGGGAGGTGGCTCTGGGCTGGGGAATCCTGCAGTTGATGCAGGGATTCCCGGGCAGCATCTGGTGTTTCCCATCCCCATTGCAGTGAGGCTGATGCGCATTTGCTGCCACAGCCATCTGGATGGGACGCCAGGGAGAGGGGAAGCCTCTTTGAGCTGGGGAGGGAGCAGGGATGGGGATCCCCAGCCCTCAGCCCTGGGATTTTGCAGAAAACCTCGAGCTGCTCATCCCCATCTAATGCAGCAGTCTGACCACCTCTGCCCTGGCCCCTTGAGGCACCTGGCTGAGCCATGGCATCAGCCTCTGGGAGACTGCTTTCTCCATTGGGGTCCAGAGAACCTCCCAGGGCCTGATCCCAATGCCCATTCAAGTCAATGGAAGGCTACGCCCATTAAAATCAATGGGAATCTTTCCAGTGATTTCAGTGCAACAGGCCTCCAAAGAACAAAGCAGGTGCCCAGGAGGGCAAAGGTTGCAACAGAGACCCTGCCCCTCTCCCTTCCCAGGGGAGTGCCCATTAAAGGCAAACTGCAGCTGTCCAGGCCAGGCTCCCAATGGGCGTCCTTTGACAAACTGAAATCAGTCAGGGGAAGACGCGGGAGGACTCTGCAAAGGCACTTGGCATGTAATAAAATGACTGCTAAGAATTCCATGAGTGCTGCTGGACCCAAAGCACATTTCCCCCAAACAGCCCCTGAAGATCTGCTTCCTAGTCTTCACACACTAGAAAACCAGCTTAGATATTGCAGCCATGTGTTTTAATGCAATCGGCACGACCTCCCTCCCCGCACCAAGGGACACTTTACAGGTGACTTTCATACCTGGTGCATCATAATTCACGTACCATGTAAACATTTCTAGGATTTGTCTGCAGCAGTTTGTCAAAAATGCGTTCACAGAATTTGCAGGAGTGAGGATTTAGAAGTGACCTACAATGAAAGGAAGTGTGCCTTAAAACTAAAAAATACCAGCCTTGCTAACTGCTTCTGTTGGGGAAATTTGCTTTTAATCTCAGTCAAAATGGGAAGTATCCATGTGTTGGGCAAAGTTTTGAAAGCTGTTAAAGCACTCTTTACCCGTCAACAGGGCCGGTGCAAGGAAGTTTCACACCCTAGGCGAAACTTCCACCTTGTGCCCCCCACAGCCCTGCGGCAGCTCCCTGCCCCCCCTCCGCCCTGAGGCAGCCCCCTGCCCCCCCGCGGC